GAAAGGGAACGCGCCGGCTTTCTTCTGCACCTCTGAGAAGACAGCACGCGAGTTCTTCATTTTGAGTTGGTACGTGACGGCTGAATCCCGCTGGTAAATCGACGTCCGTGCCTCCTCCATCCGGGCCTACAGAAATTTGACTTGTTAGCACCGCTGAAATGCCCATTCAGGCCGCGAACAAACCTTGCCATCCTCGCCTGACGAGACCAGGACATCGATACCGTAAACTTCGCCCTCTGCGAAGGTTGCGCCCTCGAAGTCCCGCTTCTGCGCCTCACTAGGGTTCAGAATGATTCGCTTCTTGCCGTCGATGACGTTTTGCGTTTGCTGGCAAGAGAGCATACCTGCAAAGAAAAAGAAAAAGAATCAGCTGAGAATACGGACGATAGGTGGGTATGTACACACCCTCGACCGGTTTGCAGTCCCAGGCAGAGGCAACCTTTCCGACGACGTCGGTCACGGCCCAGTTCTTGTTACCGACCTTGATGGTGCGCATCGCAGCCTCCGCAGCGTGCCAGGCGGCCTTGAGGACGTCTGCCCGTCGTCCCGTGACGGGATTTTCCACCGTCGCGCCGACGACGATAGTTTCCGCGCTGATCGCGGCGAAGCCGTCAATTTGCGCGCCGATGTGGATCTTAACCATGTCATCTTTGGCAAGCACCTGCGACGACTGAGGGTCTGAACTGTCAGAGCACATGTGAGTTGGTACAAACGGCGACTCAGAGAGCCTCGGGACCGACGTACGCCAACGGTGAAAAATGTGCGACGGTGTTATTGACCGAGATGGAGGTCGGGAAGGCGACGCCTGTACCGGAAAACAGAGTGAACAAAGGTCGGGGAGCGAGCAGCCGCCGTACCCTTGTTCACTTTAACGCCTTTGACGGCTTTGTTGTATACAGCAGCGGTGCCAGCCTCAATGAGCTTGTCACCCTCGATGCAAAGGTCGATGATCTTTGCACCCTCGACAGAGAGCTCGATGAGTTTTTTGATGACATTGTGGACGATTTCTGCTGCAGTCTATGGCGCGCGGGGGTCAGTTTTTTTTCGCGCTCTCCGGGGAGGTCGTGTGAACCTTGTATTTTGTCAAATCCGCCTCTGCGGAGGACGGGGCAGGCTTCTTCTCCGCGGCCGGGGCGGCGGCGGGCTTTTCTGTGTCGGACATGGAGTGCTCCGTGGAAGTGTGAGGTGGATCCGTTGACCGTGACGACGCGAACTGAAACGAGAATCTCAACTTCACCGCCACTTCCTAATTCGGCAGGCCCAGTAAGTGGAATGAATGCAGTGTATTCCGTATGATAGTGAGTATGTGCAGTGTGGTCCTACATGATGCTGGGTAATATATAGTTAGATAGCTGTAAATACAGGGTCAGGAAGCCGCCGGCTTCCATCCGACAAAGGCCCGCAGTGAGCGGCAGAGGTTTGCAGACGATGGACGACGGACTCGATCACCAGTCGACTCGTCGCGGCGTGAAGATATCCGATTCCGCCAGACGCGCCAGTCGGGCGCAGGCTCTGGCTCCGTCCAGCTGAATTCCGACGCGATGCGTCCACGCATCGCGATACGGTCCGCCATATCGTTTTCCCAACTGAGCCAGTCAGTCTCAAACGCCTCCCGAGGCGAGTGTTTTAATCGAAGGAACCGAGCGTCATTGGTCCGCGCGGTCTTCGCTACAATCGGAGGAAGGTCGTTCGGGAATAAGCGTTCATATTCCAGATAAATCGACTCCTTGCACGCCGTGACGGTGTTGACCGTCTTGGCAAGGTGCATCCGTCCCCAGAAGGGGAGCGTTCGGTGGGAGGAGACAGTGGATTTGGACTTGATTGAGTACGTGTCCGCATCGCTCAACCGCCGAACTGAGGGGTTCAAGTCAAAGAGCGTGTCAGCGTCGAAAGAGTCGTCGCTGCTCCTCGATCCGCTGGCGGGGGATAGCGAACTTGGAGGAAGGGGAATCTGGAAGGAGGGGTGGGTCTGTACATTTTCAAAGAAGGAGGACAGATAGAATGGAAGGACGGCGATGACGCTTCCAGCGAGAAATCTGCGAGAGAGCATAGAGTCCCATGCGGTTTTGAGTCGTGTGTGATCTTGGGGATGGTGGTCCGGGGTAACGATCTCCGAATCAGAATCTTGAGGGAAATAGGCGGTATTCCGTGAGCTTCCACTCAGTTCAGGGGATCCCATGTCCAAGGGTATCGAGGTCGCAGGCGACGTGTCGGTATAAGTTTCTGGCAGAGTCGGAAGACTAGGTCTTTTTTGTACCCGATGTTCCACGGGACTGTCCGGGACACTCCAAAGATCTGACAGTATCGTATTGGAGCTTCGGCTGGAAAAAGCACTGGGAGGGGCGGAATCTTTGCGATCCCGACTGAAGTCCAAGCTCAGAGGAGCTAAATGTGTGCGGGTGGGAAGTGGGGGCGCGCAAGGAAATATGAGGTCTTCCTCTATGATCTACGGGAAGATTATAAGGCTGCATCAAACAATACACAAAATATCGCGTACTTCCAAGACACCATTGCACTGCATGATTCCTCGCGACTTCCTAGATGCAGCTATTAGAATATGAAGCGTAGACTGTTCAGATATGCTATACCTCGAGCACATATTGCCACTACACAGCAAGTTAGAGTACGTCCAAAGTACCAATATTGTACACACACCTCATCCTCGGGAACACCCAAACCAATACCGGATATGTGTACGAAATCGAAATAGTCCGAACGGAATGGCAGACCATCCAAGCTGAGGACGAATTAGATAAATAAGGGCCAGGCGGCGCAGAGCTTACAGGTTGCCATGCATCCATTTGAGGCGGCCGGCGAGCTCGTTCGCCAGTGGGAGGGGGTGCGGAGACTGTCCCCCGTCTTCGAGGCATCGCATATAATGCGCGTCGAGTTCCAACAATTCGGGCTGGATGTCCTTTAAGTCGAACCCGATGATTTGGGCGTTCTAGAGGCGCGTTAAACAAATTATCGAGAAACAGTTGAGCGACTGACCGGCCACTGCTTTGCAGCTTCCATTGCCCAATAGCCACCACCGCATCCGAGATCAAGTATGACCTTCGGGGGTGTGTCAAACTGATGCATTGTAAGTCCTCCAAAGCAGCTTTGGAGGAACATCTGATCCCAGTTGTCACTGTCAAAGGAGGTTGGATAACGTCAAGCAAGCAGACTAGCGGCTTCACAAGTTTATCATATCCAGAGAGTAGTCGAGAGGATATGGGACCTCGCCGGGCCTCCGCCGAGAAGACTTCTGCTTCAGGAGCAAGTGCTGGACATCCTTCTCCGCGACCTGCGTCGCCGAGCCGAACGGCGGCGGCGGTGGACGAGGCGGTGGAGGCATCGACGGAGAAAAAGAATGTGTGGGTCTAAGGTCGCTTACTAGACATAAATAAGGACAGACCCATTCTGCAGAGGAAATGTTCGAAACATATCCCCTTGAGGATTTTCAATTTATGTCACACTCACGTGCCGATAACATCCCTGAAGAAATGCTCTCTCTCGTCCGCCGTCAGCTCCCCCGGCGTGCGAGCCCCGTCCTTGCCCGCCATTATGCTACTCCGACCAAAGAGCCAAATCCCCAGCTCAACGGCTACCCAGAACTTCCCGATGTTTCGTCGCAATACCGCTCACCGCTAGGCTGGCAGGATCAACTTTTACGGCGCAATTTTGGCGACACGGTCAGACTTATCCCCCGTCTTTTATTTTATTCTCACCGTCCCCGCGCAGGTTCATCATCACGAAGAAGTCAACTCGATGTGGGGCCCCGACATCCCCGGTACAGTACCACCGCAGCAAGCTCTCCGCCAGTTCCTCCTCGCGGCAGGTTGCTTTGTGGCCGCCGGTCTATTCATCCGCACATTCCTCGTCCCAGAACGACCAGCGATACCCCGCGAATACCCCTTCAGAGGGTTAGAGGCCGAGTTGGGAGGAGCCAAGGTATGTCATTCCGTCGTATCATCATCATATATTGACCCCTGCCAGGCGAACCCTGAGGCTGAGGAGTGATGCGCTAGCGTCCGTGATTTGTGCCTGTAAAATAAAATACTATCCTCCAATCAAGACCGTTGCGAAGTGAGACGGTCACTCTCCGCGCCTTCTTGTACACCGCGCATCACTCGGCTACACCGTAGCAAGCCTTACGGGATTCGGGATCAAATTTTCCCCCGTTCTGACCCTGGTCTCCTCGCTGTTGTGACACTGCGCTAGTCAACAAGAGGCGTCCATCTGTGATGCTCGACCAACCACCTCCTATTTCCTGAACTGTTGATATTGGTCACTGGTCTAGCAGTCGGTGATACTCCTATGTTGGATTCAGATTCTCGCATGGAGCTGCTCTGGAATCATTCCATGCTTCAACCTCGAATACGCGACGGAAAGCTGGTTCGGCGAGAATGACCACAAGCACGCAACAAGCACGGGCAAACAACCGCTACTGTCTCGGTATGGTTATTCAATAGTGAGACATCTTGATATGTGAACAGGTGAGACTTGGTAAGGTGAGACCCGGATTCTCGACGGGGAGAATAAGGATACGCGGGGTGTTGTTCATCGAGCTTGAATGGGAAACAAACCATTGCCAAATGGCCGGGGAAATCCACCATGCTGTGAGACACCTACTGCTACTGCTACATACTCCTGGTCGAAGCGGTGTTGGAATGACTTTTCGTCGCCATCGCCTGGCCGCGCCGCTCCAAACGATGACGCTAGACCTCACTTGGGAACCCGCGTACTTAGCGCCCCGCTGCGCTCGAATTTCTTCACCTCCAGACAGGTCGCTTGCTGTCCCGTGATGGGTGATGGTGAAGGCGTCGAGAGTCAATATCGGAAATCTCGCGGATCCACGGCACTTTACTTCTGAAAGTGAAACGAAATCTCTAGCTGTTGAATGTACTTAGTGTTTGTGAGACAAGTGCCGACTTCACACCACACCGAAGTTAACACAAGTCCCAGGCAATGTTTGTGTAGTCCCGGGAAAGGCCAAAAAGCCTAAATGACAAAAAGAATAGCAGCAACTCGTTTCGATCGAGTGACCTCGGGGTCACCAGAGAATATGGGCCCCGCGCGCTTCCAGACTGCGCCATGCTGCTGTTAGTCGATGTGCCTCCTGCAGTTCTTAGTACTCCATATCTAGTTCTGAATCGTGCATCGACGAATCGGCGACGCTGACACTGCCAGTGACAGTGACCCTGAATCGCTTCTGCAGTGACAAATTTTAAGCCCATAAACCGCTCGTGCCGTGAAAGCTCCTCATCGAAACGACAGAATCGACCAAATTGGAAGCTATGTAGAAGCGCTGCAGAGCGCGGTCTTGGGAGACCCTACGTTGCACGCTGACTCCGCTGTTGCATTGTGTACAGTCCTTGGCCGACGCCAATAAATATACTGGAATGATCGTTCCCACTGACGAAATGATGGGTGAAATACGGCTTCAAAACTTCCGTATAAAAAACATACCTGGCCATGGCAATGGCCGAGTCCTCGTGCGTCTTCGTCCGCAGTCTCGTCGTCGCCGTCGAAAAGGCCACAAAATTTCAAATTTAAATAATGGGCACTAAGAGTGATGTCGGAAGAATTGAGGATGATGTTAAGTTCGACTGGACAGGTGACAATGGGCTGCATGAACCTACATAGTATCAAGTGACAACCGGCCGATTTCGACATGTGTACCCCCTGTAAGGCTTATCAAAAAGGCTAGAATATACTGCAGGCCTTTTACTACCGACCGTAAAGGTAGGACACCCACAGTAAATAGAGTCGGATATATTGCCTAACTGGGACGATGGCGGTTAATTGTTTGGCTTGTTTGGTGTGTACAGCCACCGTTTGATCGCTCCGTTTCTTGAGCAAAAATTGCCCAAGTGTGTACATGAGGGATGGCCCTGCATCGCATTAAATTTCACTCTCGTAATAGCCTACTCAACCTATATTCATCTCCCTTCTTCATCGACATCGTCCACTACAGGACCCTTGAAAGCAGGTTTCGGGCGGGGACGTAGTTTGACCGCAAGGCCGTAATCTGCGTCGACCTCTCCCTGAAATTCTCCCTCATCGTCAGAAACCGGCTTCCTGCGAGATGCGCCCTTCTTCGCACCGCGCCCACGACCACGACCACGACCAGTGCCACGAGACGTGAGAGGAGCTGTTTTAGTTTTGGCCGCCTTCGATTTCTTTTTGACAGGGACGGCATGGTCGTCCTCCGACTGAGAGTTGTCACTTTCCGCTGCTGGTGATTTGGAACCTTGTTTCCGTTTTTTTCGGAAATCGGATACCACTTGTTGCAGACGTTTGCTGTCATATACTTGTCGCTTGCGAGGAGCAATAGTTCCGCTTCCTGTGACATCGAAAAAACCATTAAGATCTCCCTTGCTTGTTTAACGCGCCGCTCTAGAGAGCAGATGAGTTCCACGAATCGGTCAATAGTGGAGTTCCTCACTTGACCACGCTTTCGGATTTTCTGGATAACGGGTAACAATAGCTCATCCACCTTGTCGGGTGGCCAGCTAAGCTCGGCATATAGGAAACCTGCAATCAGATAAGACCTCAAGGACGACACAACTCAATCGGTGTGCGTACTCTCGTAGAGCATCGAGATCAGGCAGGACCCCACTTAAAAGGCTCTTCCGACTCATCGACGGTGGGATGGTAATAGGCGTCCCGCTGGGCAAGGTTAGACTACAATGCATCGATCGAGTGCAGAAACATACCACAGTAGCATTAGGCCATTCTGGCGGTAGATACAGATCTTTGAACTTTTTCTTCTATGAATGGGATGTCAGACTGAGCACTTATCCAACTTAAAACTACCTACAAATCGCTTCCGGAATTTCGACTTGTTATCTTCTGGCTTGTCCTTCCCGGACTGCACCTTCGTCCACCAGTCTTTGAATTTATGCAGCCCGTCCTTCCCAGGAAACTCGCCGAGAAGTTCCATCGCCACGACAGGGCCGATGCCAGGAAGCCCGTCGACATAATCGCTACCAAGTAGGTACGCAAGTCTGATCAACGTGTCGCGATCCAGACCCAGCTCGCGGCTTAGATCAGTCAGCAGAAAACACTCGACCGTTTTGGACTGATTAAACATGTTTTTGAAAACACGCTGGCTGCCGAATAAAAACACGTCTGAATCATCCGTAATCACACCGTTCACCAGGCCCAGATGGACAAGCTCAGCGCATTGAGCTTCGGCTTCCATCGGCGCAGTGATGTACGGAATGCCAAACAAACTGAGCATCATCTGAGAGAACGGTCAGAGGAGACCTTCGTTCCCAACACGGTTCACTCACCATGATTTGCGATATCATTTGCTGATTGATATCTTCCGAATCGCGCATGGCAGCTTTCTTCTGCGCGTTCAAGACCTTGATTTCGTCGTCGATCTCGCGTTGGACTTCGTCTAGATCTTTGCCTTTGACTTGTGACATGAACCGCGCAAACTCGCCCTCTTCCGCATCGGGATCCATTTCTTGGGCAGCATCCCAGTCTTCGGCGACCGGGGAAGACACCCGTGGCTGCGGCTGCTCCAATCCAACGACCGGCGACGGCGATCTTGACCAGTCACTGACGGGTTCGCCTTCGTCGTCCATGTCGTTTCGTAAGGATAGCGTTGCAGCTGAATTGTCTAACGCTTCAACAGATACTCTTTCGACAAGCTGTCTGCGATTCGCTGAAAGGCGTGGATTCTACGTCGTCTCCACCGATGGCAGAGGAGCGTTGGTCGTAAGCAGATGGATCCGGCGGGCTACCGATGGCAGCGACCGGCGCAGGAGTGTTGGAAGGGGCGCGCTCATCGGAGACCAATGGGCTGGACAGGCCGCTAATAGCAGCAGCTCGTGGCCGGGATGTTCAGGGGAGCTGTTCGTTGGAAACGAACAGGGTCCGGCGTGTCACTAGCATTCTACGACGTCCGGGATCGTGGATAATGCAACAGGGCTTCGGCTACCTGTCAGAGGGATGTCCATCTCAGTGCTCTCGCGTTGCAAAGGCGCAGAGACGGAAAACACAGGGAGAACTTCTTCCATGTCCTCATCCGAAAGATATTCAGGCTCTGACTGGACCTGAGGCAGAGGAGGAGGCGAAGGTGTTGGGGAAATTGCAGGATTCGGCTTCCCGAATTCAGGTCCTATAAACCCGCTCATACTGATATCTCCCTCTGTACCTCTCGACGGAGGTAAAAGTGTTGCATTCGACGGTGAAGGCGGTACGTGGAGTAAGACCGGTTCCCCGAACAATGAATTCGAAGGCTTGGCTACGGGTTTCGTTGGCGTACGCCGCACCAGCCCTGCGTTGGCTATCGACAATACGGTTCCTAACCGGGTTCCGCGGAGTAAAGCATCGTCGTGGTGAGAATGGCGTGAGTCAGAAGACTGTCGTGGGGTAGTGTCAACGAGTTTGGAAGAAGATGCAACGGCGTTGATCATTGCAGGACGTCGCGGCCGGGCCGTCTTGGAGGCGTTTGCCTGGTCGATTGAGTCCTGGATCGCAAAGGCAAGTTCTCCGTCGTCGTCGTCGTACATTGGAGTGATAAGGTCGTTGGAATCATCCAAGTCAAAGAGCGGCCGCGAAACTGTGTCCGACGGAGTTGCCCTCCGTGTTGCTAACTTTTTAGGCGCTTGGCGATTAGCAATGGCCGCTAGATTCATGGACCTTTGGTATTCCTGCAAGTCAGCGTCCGGGAGACCGGCTTGAGGTCTAAATGTGGGTAAGTCAGAGTTACACTATCGCACGAGTAAGAGGCGAACATGTGGACCTCTTCCATGTCCTCATCGCTGTCGTCGTCCACGACAACCTTATCGTCCTGGTCGATTTCTATGGGCTTGTCTCGTGTCCCGTTGTCTCGAATACCAAGAATCCACCCGCCCTCGTGGCCCTCGTTCTTGATCAAGAGGTACTCTCTGTTGCGTTCACTGGCAACCCGAACAGGAATGGTGATATTAGCCTTTCCGATGCTGTCGGTGGTCATGAGGAGCTGTTGTGTCAAGGTATTTCGCTGCCGCAGATTTTGAATCTGCTGCTTCGAGAAGTCGAGCGGCGTGGAAGCGTTTCTGAGCATGTTCTGCAGCCGAGCGTAGGATGTTTGACGGGATTTCAGACGAAGATCTCCCACTATCTCGTACTGGACTTCGGTTGGGAGCTCACGGAATGCGGCAGAGGTAACGTCAAAGTCTTCGGGTCGCATATCTTCTATAAACTCGCGTAGTTCATCCTCAGTAGCCAGGACGCGGATCGGGGACTGCAGCCCGTGTTGCAGAGGCAACGGCAGCTGCTAGGTCAATATCGGGAAGGCGATATGGGTCATGATCATGGAACTTGGGTTTACTAGGAGAGACGAAGGACGGCTCTACATCTGTTTTCACCGCGGGCGTCTTGGGCATCGATGGGTCAATATCCTCGAGATATACAGTGTTATCGTCAAGTACAACAGGACCGGTAGGCGCTTTGCCTTTGCCTTTGCCTTTTGTCGGGTTCCTACTCAAAATGTGAGACCGAGGATTTGTTGAGAGATAACGACACATACTGCCCCCCACTCGCGTGATTCAAAGCCGCTCGTCTTAGCTGAGCAGCAAGGAGTTTCTCAGCGAGTTTCGCATGGCTTGTGGCCGCCCCGGTCTTCTTCTTTCTGCGTTCATTCTGAATGAAATGAACATCCGAGATATTCCTAATAGAAAGAAGCGCACAAGAGTGTTCCTCTTCAGAGCTGGAGCACCTCCATCGAATACAAAGACAGGTTTAATGCCATAAAATAGGAGTTTAGCAATTCGCCGTAGAAAGCCAAGGACATGAGCGTTCGATAATGCGCGTCCGTCATTGTCGCGCATTGTGGCTTGGAACTGGTAAATCCAGATACTCGAGTCGATGGCCATTATCTGGCCCTCCATGGTCTCGAGCCTAAGTCAATTTATCAGTCACTGCAAGTAAAACAAGTGCGAGAAAGGCGCGACATTACGGGTCTACCAACAGGCGCGAGGAGTTTCCACAAGGACTTGACACCCATGTCTGTCTAGTTCCATGAACAGGTCGAGACGAAGAGCGCGTCTGCGAGACGTGACTCGATCAATTAGAAGGAGGTTTATTTGGCACAGTTTGGCTT